CAGAGGCGGCGCCCGCCAGGCTCAAGCCGCCTGCCCTCTGCCCTATGGCGCCTTCCTGCCTCTCTTGCGCCACGCCCCGAGCGCAGCGATCGCTGCTCCACGCCTGTGCCACGCCAGCACGCCGCGCCTCCTCCCGAGCCCCCAGAGGCGGGCGTTGGGGCCTTCCCTCCTCCGCTCCGCCTCCGCGCCCTCGGCCTCCGCCGGGCCCCCCCGGGCGCCATCCGGCTGGCGCCCCCCGAGCGCGCTGCGGGTGCGGCGTGCCCGGCCGTCGAGGCCGGGAGGAAGGGATCGCGGAAGGCGCCGGGGAGGAGGCCGCCTTGGAGACGCGCCCCTCGCCGCTTGCCGTCGGGGTGGCCTCAGGAGCAGGGCGCGAGCAGGAGAGAGCGAGAGAGAGAGAGAGAGGCAGAGAGAGGCAGAGGGAGGGAGAGAGACAGAGGCAGAGGCAGAGGCAGACAGAGAGAGAGAGAGAGGGAGCGAGCGAGAGAGAGAGAGAGATGGGGGAGGGAGGGAGCGAGAGACAGAGAGAGAGAGAAAGAGAGAGAGAGAGAGAGAGATCGTGAGAGCTATACCCAGTGTTCGTCGTTCTCTTTCGTTTCCTTGTTTAGTCCTCCTTCCTCTTCCGTCTTCCTCTTCCTGTTTTCGCTCTTTTTTGTGAAGCCGTCGCCGTTCTCCTACTCAGCTTTTGGCGGAGGCTCTTTCTTGGGAGGTCTCCGGATGGTCTCTCGAAGGCTTTTCGTTTGTGTTTTTTGCGTCGTCTTCGGGGTCATCTTGGATCGTTTTGGGGCTCTTTTGGGTCCGCCTTGGGGCCCTGTTCGACAGTCTTGGGGATCTCTTGAGCAGTCTTGAAGCCCTTGTGGCCCTTGTTTGGGGCAGGCTCGGACGCCGGGAAAACCGAAGAAGAAGGGTCCCCCAAGTCGTCCACATGCTATAGAGGGACATACCTATCGTTTGCCCTTGGAGGCCTTTGGAGAGCCTTCCTGGGGCGTCTCGTGGGTTTTTGAGGCCACTTGTGGCGCTCGTGGGGCCGCTCGGGCTCTCTCCTGACTGTGCTGGCCCCGTTCTCCATCCCGAGACGCCCCAGGGCAGCCCCGGGACGCCCCCGGGAGAGGCGGTGCAGACGACCCCCGTGGACCCCTTAGTGCGGTCACGGATCGCCCCAGACGCCCGGAGAGCTGTACAACGATTGGGCATTGACCCACTCTGTCCCCAGAGGTGTTTCCGCGAGTCGGCGGCGCGCCCGGGGGAGAAGGCAGAGGGGGCGGGCCGTTCTCGGGAGGCTCAGGCAGCCTCCAGCCTTCTGGGAGGGCTTCGGAGCCTTCTCCGAAGACGCAGGGGGCTGCCCCCTCTCGCTTCCCCCTCGGCGCGACGCCGGGCAATGGCGTGTGGGGGGACCACATATTCCACTAGTTCAGCCGTCTTTGGCCAAACGTTGGCGGCCAAGCATGATGCATTCCCCAAAGAGCAGGCGCGGCGGCGAATCGCAGGCAGCGACTCATTTTCTTTCGGTACGGAATGGGTATCTCGGCGGGTGCGCTTCGCAACTCGTCAATGTCTAGGTCCGGGGGCGCCTCGAGACATTGATGTTGGCTGCAATGTGCAGCTGCACGGTCATGCCGCAAGGGATCCCCCCGCTTCAAGAATGAACCGTAATCGACCACCAGGACAAGAATGCAACATGGTTGGTGTCAGTGCGTTGCTGATTTTGGTGTCCGCCGGTTTTCTACTGCGTGCCTTCTTCGGTGATTAGCCTTCAAGGTGGGGAAATGATAATGCATAGCAGGCACACCGTTTCATCATCCTTCAATGGGTGCACGGGCAAGGCATTTTTTCTTGGCATCACGCAATGTATTCCAAACGCCTGCTCTGGGCACGTTATATGCGCATGTTTGCATATGCTGACTTACGCTCGGGGGTACCACCGACTCCCCGTACCAAGCGAGGGGCAACGCCTCCCGATGTACCAGCGTGTCCGCGGCTGTGCCAGAGCGTGCTCTTGCAGCTTGCGTGCCCCCTGGCGTTGCAGTTGCCCTCCCGTGGGTGGGGAGCTGCATCGGCATCCTGCTCAGAAGCAGAAATCTGAAACTTCGGGCGCCGCGGCGGGTACATCCGTGGTGGCCCAAGCCTTTTTCTGCCTCGAGGACCGCGCCGCCCTGGAGCGCTGTGCCCTCGCGCTGGGGCGTGCGGGCGCGCGGCCGCGCCCCTACGCGCCTCCCGCGCCTGCGAGGGGGGGGGGGGGGTCCTCGGGCACGCCTGCGCGATGGAGGCGAACGGGGTGCGCCGCCGGCGCCGCCGCGAGGTGCGGCGCCGCGTGGGGATCATGGAGGACGCGCCGTTTTCGGTGGCGGCTGCTTGCCCGCCGCCCTCTCCGTCTCCAGCCCCTGCCGCGACAGGGCTTTCGCCCTGCCCTCCGCCGTCGCCTGGCTGGAGCGACGGTGACCAGGCAGCGGGCCCGACGAAGCGCATCTCGCTGTCGGACCCAGGGCCGCTGCAGAAGGTGTGCTGCTGCATCCCGGGGCTCATGATCTTCCCCCCCATGCTGGCCATCGTGTTCTGCTCCATCTTCGCGCATGACGTCATGGTGTGGATCGCCGCCGTGCTGTCTGTCTGGACGGTCATCTACACCGGAAACTTGGCGATCTCGGCTGCCTTCGGGGCGTGGAGGATGCGCCACGATGTCAGCGTTGATTGGCAGGCCAAGCTTGAGAAGGTGGTGGAGGAGGCCCCAGAGAGCAGCGCTTTCATGCACATCGTTTTCCTGCCGAATTACAGGGAGGACGAGGGCATGATGCTGCAAACCCTGCAGAACCTCGGGCGATCTGCCCTGGCCCGCGAACACGTATACGTGGTTCTCTGCATGGAGGGCAGGGAGGGCGAGATTGCGCGTCGGAAAGCAGCGAATCTGATCGACGCTTCCCGCCACCTGTTCGCGGACATCAGCGCTACTTTTCACCCAGAGAATTGTCCAGGCGATGTCGCGGGCAAGTCGTCCAATCAACAGTGGGCCTACAGGCAGGTTTTGCAGAGGCTGGCTCCGCAGCTGAGCAGATATGATGCCTCGCAGATTTTCCTCACTGTCTCCGACGCAGACAGCCTCGTCCATCCGCAGTACTTCAGCGCAATGACCTACCAGGGTCTGACCATGTCGGCCTACGAGCGCGCTTGGTCGATCTGGCAGGCGCCAATCCTGCTGTTACGCAACCTTTTCTCTTCGCCAGCCCCCACTCGCTTGTCCGGCTACGCCACCATCGTCTTCGAGCTCGCGGGCCTGGCGAACCAGAAGTTGTCGCCGCATTTTAGCTACTCGACATACTCCTTCACGCTCGCTATGGGCTCGCACCGTTTTGTTGATGGCTGGGACAGGGACGTGATAGCAGAGGATCACCACATGTTCTGCAAGTGTTACTTCGCGTCTATCTGGGAACAGCTGGAGGCCCTGACGTCAGGAAGCAGTCAGCAGCAGTGTGCCGCGGAGGGTGCGGCGTCTCACCTGCGGCTGCGTCCCGTGTTTCTGCCAGCGATATCCTATTCCAGACGCTGCGCGTTCACCTCCCGCTCGCGGGAGTGACTTTTGGTGCGGGCACAGATGGGCCCCCAGATGGTCGAAAGAGAAGCGGTAGCAGCGGCCTGCGCGCTTGTTTTTTCCCCCCCGCGGTCCCAAAAAGCCGCGCACCAAAGGTCACTCTTACCCAGTGTCACTCTTGCGTGTAGCCGAGGGGGGGGGAAGGGGAACAGCCACGCATCGCACGCGCCCTCTCGCCCCCCTTGGCAGGCCAGGGGTGGCGGACCTCGTCGAGTCGGACGGCGGCTGGTTCGCCTCGGTCCACGCCAGGTTCGTGCAGGCGCGGCGGCACTCCCAGGGCCTGGCAGAGCTGTCCTACGTCTTCCTGCAGCACGCGCGCCTGCTGATGTCGGGTGGCTCGAGGCACATCGCGACGGCCACCCATGCCAGGATCTTGGGCGTCGCAGGGAAGATGGCGAGCGTGCACATTCTCCCCAACATGCACTCCCTGTCCCTCATCCCGAGGAAGACAAAACGGCATACACATAACCTTTCGATGGCCCGCGCGGACTTCGCGTATCGGCGCTGGATCACATTGGCGGCGCCTTTGGCGCCGCCCTTGGCGCGCTTCGCGCGCCAGGAAGGGGGGTCCAGCGCAGACTCAAGAAATCTGCGCGGACATCCAAAAGGTTATGCTCAAGCCGCTTTTTCAGTTCCCCAGTCATCTTGACTACCATGTTGGTGGTGCTGGAAACCTTGCGGTGGCTCGTGTCCCAAAGCCCTCAGGATCTTCTCTCACTTGTGCCCGCCTACGGCACAGAGGGGGCGTGGAGCATGCAGAGTTTCGCGGGGGTCAAGTGGGCCTTGTTTGCAATTTTCGGTCCAGTCCCACCTTTGAGCATGCTGATGTCGTCGACGACGTACATTGTTGTGAAGGACGCGCTAGAGGGCAAAGTCTCGCGAGACCCCGCCAACCCCAAAGAGCTGCCAAGCCTGCAAGGCTCGGTCAAGGGTGGCATGAGCTCGTGGCAGAAGCTCAAGCTTTATCTCATGGTCCAGAACGACTATTTGGGCGGCGCGTTCATCACTCTGTTCGCCTACGGCCTGGTGCCTGCGACGATGGCCGCGTGGTCACTGATGACGAAGAACGGTAGTGGGTTCCAGTACGTCGTGGCTGGTAAGCCAAAAGATGCCGCTTCGTGACGCGTTCCGTTCGCGCCGTGGTTTGGAACCACTGGGCGCGGTGGGGCGGGCTCGTCGCGCTTTCACTGGTGAGGTTGTGGGGAGGAAGGGCACAGCGCCCTCCGATTCGGGAGGCCAGAGCAGTTGAAGTGGTGAGGCTGCCTCTGTGCCGCTCCAGAAGGGCATTCTACCAGGAGGTCCCGCCTCGTCGCCGCAAACAGCGCGGAGCACCGATGCACCGAGACTCAGAAGCTCAGCTCGCTCGTGATGTTGTGCCAACGTTGTTCAGATGCCAGAAGCTGCGAGCATCAGCACATGGTGGCGCGCAGCGGAGGTGCCTCTTTGGCCCCGCATGCCGCGCCAAGTTCTGCGCGAGTTTTGGTTTGTGGTTGTGCTGCATTGCCCAGTCGAGCCAGCCGACATGCCTTCCGATGGTTAGACTGCAACTCCTGGGAGGTTCAGTTCAGCATCGGCGCCGGTATAACGGGCCTAACCAGGCACACTCCGTTGAGTTCCTCTTGCTCCCACTGGTGTGACCTAATCCAGCTCGCTTCTGGTTCCAAATCTGGGCTAATCCAGATTGCCGGCCCATCAATCGGGCTTGATACCCGTAATCGCTCTTACGAAGACTTCCTAGAAGTTGCATTCTAAGACAGTGCCTTCCGATGGCCGGGGGCCGGCGGCGCTGGACGTCTGGCGGGCTCACAGGACGCAGGGGGCGGCCCAGCAGCGGCCAGCGGTGCGCGTGCGTAGGTCACCGCCCCCCGCGCAGCCGCGCGCAGTGCGGCCAGCGGCGCGTAGTCCTGGTTTCGTCTTCGATTCCCATGAGCTCCGCTGGCCCGATGCTGGCCCCAACGGGTCGGAGTCGGAGTCTTTGGTGCGGGATTGTCCCCGTTTTCCCACCTTCAGTGTGCTCTGCATGATTGCCCCCCATGCATGCGTAGGACTATAAGCGTCCCTCACAATTAGCTAGTCTAGTACTGGTCGATGACTGCTGGCAGGATGCCGCTCGCAGTTTGGATTGCTTCGTGGGAGGCGTCTCTAAAACAAATTCCTCTCAGCTGTATGTTTTACCGTTGGAGAAAGTTCGAACGCATCCGCTCTTCCTCCTTCCGAGGTGCGTATGGCGTCGGTGTGACGCACAGTGAGTTCACGCACAAGGCTACTAGACAACGCATGCATCTCAATAACACAGCTTTCCGAGCAGTCAGCCTCGCGAAGCACTTGGCGCCTGCTCTTATGTGGAGCGTGGTGAGCGGTTGTGAGATGGAGGATGGTGTGTGCGTGCGCGCGTGTGTGTGTGTGTGCGTGTGTGTGCGTGTGTGTGCGTGCGTGTATGTGTGTGCGCGTGCGTGCGTGCATGCGTGTGTGTGTGTGTGTGTGTGTGCTTAGGTTTGTGTGTTGTTTGTGTGTGTGTGTGGGTGCGCATGTCCTTTCAGTCCTGGTTGGCTGATGGCACGTTTCACCTTACCGTAGTCTCGTTTTTCCGCTACTCCCCCCTGCCACCCATGCCCGGATGGTTATGGTTGCCGGCGCGAGACCCTAAGTGGTCTCTGAGTGCTCGGGCGGGCTTGGACGCGCGCGCGCGACTGCTGGTTGTCGACCTTTACGCACTGTCGCTGCGCGCAGGGGTGTGTGTCCGTGTTGGGGGGGTGGGGGCTTGGATGGCGTGGGGTGGGGGGGGGGGGCGGGAAAAGGCAGGGTGAGGAGGATCAGGGATGAAATTATCAAGGCGAAAGACCCAACTTTATGCAAATGTGAATACTGCGAGACAGGTGGGACGAAGGAGAGGAAGCTAATCCTGAGGCCACGAAATGTGTGGGGTGTGTGTGTGCTGAAATGAGCGGGGGTCCCCCTGTGCGAACGCACCCAGTGGGGCCTTAGGTGGAGCTCCCTACGGGGCCAACAAGCGTGTGAGCCGTGTGCTGAGATGAATGGGGACCCCAATGCGAACGCACCCACTAGGGCCTTAGGTGGAGCTCCTCGTGGGGCCAAGAAGCGGGTGAGGGGAGGTCAACATGGGCGTCGAGTGCGCATGCGACCGTTGCCGCTTGCTTGGGCCCTCGGCGGAGCTCCCGATGGGGCCACGAAGCGCGTCAGCGGCGTGCCGACATGTAACGCCGGGAGGCGTTCGAGCACCGTCACCGGGGCCCTCGGCTGAACTCCTTATGAGGGCACGAAGCGTGCCTGGAGGCCCCGTGGGGCTATCAACCTCCGACTTCAGGATGCTTGGTCCGCTGCACCCCCAGTCGAAGCGCCCTGTCCCAGACGGCAAGACGTAAAACGAGAAAGAGTCTGATTCTCATTCGTCCACGCTCTGCCCAGGTCCGAGTCGGGGCAGCGCTGGTTCCACACCCAGCAGCAATACTTCAACACCAGGGGAACTGTGGCGTCTACGTCGAGATCATATGGCGGGCCCCAGCGAATGCAACGATAGACAGTGACGTGCGAATGGTTGTTGGTTCCAATGAGACCAGCAGCAAGAGATCGGAGGCCACGCATAGTGGAGTCCGTAATGACCGGAACTCCAGCACCATGGCACCCGCATGTTATGCGGCCAGCGCGCAACAACCCAGAAACCTTAGCGGTCCCCCTCGGACCGCTCAAGAGGAGCCTTTTTGCTTGTTTCATGAGGGACTGTCCTGCGCTTAGCTTCTATGGTTTTGTACACGCGCCTGCCATGCATGTCAGGCCCTCGTTACTTACGTGCTGATTGCTTCTAAGCCTCAGCATGCGTGCAGAGAACTGCACCTGCTTATCCGCGGCACTGCATTGTGATATATAACCTGATTTGCTCGACTGGAGAAGGAGGCCTACGGGGGGGCTACAGCTGTCATACTCCAGAGTCGCCGCTAGCGCCCTCGAAGATTGACTAGCGCTGGGTCTCTGCCATTGCAATGAAACATCTTCCATGAGCGCCCTTGCCTGGACACTATGGAACTGAGCAGTCGAATGCTTAATGGGCTGCAACAGCACCGCAAGCATGGCCGATGCCGCGGGGCATCCAGCTAGGATCCCTGGAATATTGGCAAGGGCGTCTGCAAGCAAACCGGAAGGGTCGGTTCTGCTCGAGGCGATGAAGCTCTGGATAAGCATCCAACCTAGCCTGAATGCGCGGCGGGATCGCATGCGTACTTTGCCAATGGAGCCTTCGGCGTAAGTCGGCGGCGGGAGCTCATGCGAACTTTGCCACTGGGGCCTTCGTTACAGCTCCTTATGGGACCACGAATTGTGTGGTGTGTGTGTGTGTGCCGAAATCAGCGGCGGGGCCGCATGCTACTATTGCCAATGCAGCCTTCGACGGAGCTCTCTATTGGGCCACGGAGTGTGCGAGCGGTGCGCCGAAATGGGCGGCGGGAGCACGTGCGAACGTTGCAATTGGGACCTTCGGCGGAGCTCCCTGTGGGGCCACGAAACGTGAGAGGGGGTTGTCGATCGATCTTTGCCACTGGGGATTTTGCGGGAGCTCCAGATGTGGCCACGCAGCCAATGAGGTAAGTTCCGAACTAGGCGGTAGGAGCGCATGCCACCTTTGCCATTGGGTCCTTCGGCGGAGCTCCTTTTGGGGCCAGGAAGCGTTGGAGAGGTCTGGCTCGGGAGGGTCTGAGATGATGATGACGATGATGATGACGATGATGATGATGATGATGATGATTATTGCACAGATGATGCTGGTGACGATGACGATGATGATGCTGATGATGATGCTGATGATGATGGTGAAGATGATGATGCTGATTATGGCGATGATGCTGATGATGATGGTGATGAAGAAGCTGATGCTGCTGATGATGGTGATGATGCTGCTGATGATGATCACGATGATGACGATGATGATGATGATGCCGATGCCGACGATGCTGATGGTGCATATGGTGCTACTGAAGGAAATGATGATGATGATGCTGATGACGATGATGATGCTGCTGCTGATGATGATGATGCTGATGATGATGGTGATGATGATGATGATGGTGATGCTGATGATGATGATGCTGATGATGATGATGATGATGATGATGATGATGATTATGATGATGCTGCTGCTGCTGCTGATGATGATGATGATGATGATGATGATGATGATAGTGGTAACTGTTGTCATGGTTATGTGGATGATGACGACGAGTACATGCAAAGATACGGGCCGTGGATGGGATACGGGAAGAGGAAAGAAAACGAGGACGGGATGGACGACAGATAGTGCGGCGTGGTTGGTTCAGAACCACGGTCCACCACCACAGGATGGTTGCTGAAAAAGCGAGGGGTACGGGGAAGAGGGCGAAGGATATTGAGAAGTGGATGAGGAGGAGGAGGAGGAGGAGGAGGAGGAGGAGCAAGAGGAGGAGGAGGGGGAGGAGGAGGAGGACCAGTGCTGATCATTAAGAGAACGACTAGGCAGGATGAGGAGGAGGAGGAGGAGAAGTGGCAGTGAAGGGTGCAGTTTTGGAGGGAGGAGGCATGAGGAGGTAGGCGTTGGATGACACTGATGAGGGATTGGTCGCCAGGTGAAGAGGAGGGAGAGGACGAGGAGGAGAAGGAGGAGACGGAAGAGGAGAACACGGTTAACCATGAATGGAGCGAGGGAATGCGGATGAACCTTATGCTTATTTGTGGACTCGGAGATGCCTGGTAAGGCGGGAGGTTGGTGATGACGAGGATGGGGAGAGGGATCAGTGAGGCAGGGAGGGAGAGAAAAGAGAGACGGAGAAGGACGAGGAGGTGCGCCGGGAAGGATGGATAAGGGTGCCGATGCCTCGTTTGTGGGCGCCTCCCGCCGAGGCGCGCTGCTTCTACAGCAAGAACTGGCAGTGCCGCGTCGCGGCGCTCACGTATCCCAGGGGGGCTGGCGCCCGAGCCGCCTCGTGCACTCGAGCTTTGGGTGGCCTCCGCGCCTGCCCACCTTCCCGTGTCCCTCTTCTTCTTCTTCTTCCTCCTCCGCCTGGGCACCCGTGGTCGGGGGACCTGGGCTCGCCGCTGGAGGCGCAGGTCCCCCGTGCTCGTGCGTGCGCGCGGGCGGGCCGGGGCGGGCAGGTTCGACTGGCCGCTTCTGGGGCGCGGGCCTCATCTCCACCCCCCTTCCCTCTGTCCTGCTCGGCCCTTTACAATTACCCAGTTCGCATACTGGTCTCATCTCTCTCCTCCGGCTGCGTCTTGACAGGGTCCCGTCCTCTGCGTGTTTTTTTGTGCACCGGGTGTCATAAGGTGTGCTTGAATTCCGTGTTTGTTGTGCCAGTCGGAACGTATCTGGTGTTTCAGATTGGTGTCCCCGCTGTAACATGCTTCCAACTTTTGGCGTAGCCCGAATCTATTTCTCGCGAGGTAAACTGATTGAACTGATCTGACTGGTCGCACCCGTTACGCAACGATTTTATTCTCGGCCGCCAGGGGCGCAAACTATGGCGCAACCGACAGGTGACGGTTCGATTCTCGGCCGCCGAGCGCGCAACTTGTGGCGCAACCGATAGGAGACGGTTTTATTCTCGGCCAACGTGGGCGCAACCTATGGCGCAACCGATTTACGGGATGGTTCGATTCTCGGTCGCCGAGGGCGCAACCTATGGCGCAACCGATACGAGATGGTTCGATTCTCGGTCGCCGAGGGCGCAACCTATGTATGGTGCAACCGATAGGAGGCGGTTTCATTCTCGGCCGCCGAGGGCGCAACCTATGGCGCAACCGATAGGAGACGGTTCGATTCTCGGCCGCCGAGGGCGCAACCTATGACGCAACCGATAGGATACGGTTTGATTCTCGGCCGCCGAGGGCGCAACCGATGGCGCAACCGATAGGAGACGTTGTTATTCTCCGCCGAGGGTGCAACCTATGGCGCAACCGATAGGAGACGGTTTCATTCTCGGCCGCCGAGGGCGCAACCTATAGCGCAACCGATAGGATACGGTTTGATTCTCGGCCGCCGAGGGCGCAACCGATGGCGCAACCGATAGGAGGCGTTTTTTTTTCGGCCGCCGAGGGCGCAACCTATGGCGCAACCGATAGGAGACGGTTCGAGTCTCGGCCGCCGAGGGCGCAACCTATGGCGCAACCGATCGGAGACGGTTTTATTCTCGGCAGCCGAGGGTGCAACCTATGGCGCAACCTAGGTGCCAGGAAAAGGAGGATGAGCAGGAGGAGGAAGAGGAGAGTCGAGGACGAAATCTTAGAAGAGGGCGACGAGGAGGAGCTGGAGCAGGAGGAAGACGAGTTGGATGAGGAGGACGAGGAGGAGGACGACGATGACGATCAGGATGGGTAGGAGGACGGGTAATGTGGGCATTCGAATGCGTGAGCATTCGAATGCGTGCGGGGCTACGCCCGATTTATGCTCGCCGTTTGGGCTGGCGGTGGGGCCCAAGCGGCGAGCTGTCTTGTGATTTTGGGGTTGGTGCTTTGCTCCCATCGTTGACACTGGGACTCTAGCCTCAGCGCGAGCCATGTTCCTGGATCCGAGTCCTTTCGCATCGTTGTCTCCTCCTTCCCCTGGTCCTCCTGTCTCTCCCGCTCCTCCCACTCCTGCTGGTGCTGGTCTTTCTCGACTTCCGTCCTTCACCATCCTCCTTGCCCATTCTCGAGCTCATACGCCACATCTTCCTGCTCCAATGGTCACAGCTCCCCTTTTCTGATTGCGGACAACACGATAGTGTCCTGTGGGGGACTCTGAGTAGTCCACGATGACACTTATCGGCGGATGGCGGGGTAGGTTGTCGATGCAATGTGTCTGGCTGTCTGGGGACCCAGCAGGCCCCCCGAACGGCGAAAGTTAGCAAGACCGTGTGTCGTGCCCATCTCATTCTTTGTCCCGTCCTCTTGTCCAGAACGGAGGAGGAGGCGAGGAATGATAACGGGGAGGAGAGTTTTTGTCAAAGGTACTTGCTTTCGGGAAAAGCGCTTCTGAGGAAACGACCTCGGGGACTCTTCCGTGCGTCTGAACGTGGGTGCAAGTACCATGCCAGCCCCCCATGGTTTGTGAATATCGCCACCCCCGCGCTGCTGATGGTGCGTGATGTTATGATAGCGCAGGCACCATGTCAGCTTACCATGGTCGGGGATTCGCGCCGCCCCCACGTTGCCGACGGCAGCGAATATCCCACCCCTCATCCCCTTGATACCAGCTTCAATCCACCTCCCCTCGTAGAGGGCTGGTGCGGACCATCTTTGGCCGCCCAGCGGCCTGCAGACTGCCCAGGCATTCCCTTGGAGGCATTCTAAGTTGCCCCCCCCCATCCCAGCGTGCGCGCGTGTGTCGTTTCAGGCCCCATGAGTTTGCCCAGAAGAGCGAGGGAGGAGGAGGAGGAGGAGGAGGAGGAGGAGGAAGAAGTGAGGAGGAGGAGGAGGAGGAGGAGGAGGAGGAGGAGGAGGAGGAGGAGGAGGAGGAGGAGGAGGAGGAGGAGGAAGTGAGGAGGAGGAGGAAGTGAGGAGGAGGATGAGGAGGAGGAGGAGGAGGAGGAGGAGGAGAAGAATGAGGAGGCCTGGGGTCAGTACTCACACCAATCGTCCCCTCTTGGGGGCCCGCGGACCTCGCGGCCAGCATCGCGCAGCGCCTCGAGGGCGCCACCGAGCCCGGCCAGGCGCCAGGCGCGGCGGGCGACCTCTTCGGCGGAGCGCTGCGGGCGGCACCCTCAGCTCAGGGGCCACGTTCGGTGGAGCCTCAGGTGGGCATACATCGACCCCCGATCGCCCATTCGTCGCCGATAGTGATGGGCCTGTTTTCCACCACCACCACCACCACCATAAGTTGGAGGGGGAGGGGGTCCTCCTCCTCCTCCTCCTCCTCCTCCTTATCCCCTTCCGCCTCCTCCTTCTCCCCCTCCTTCTCCCCCTCCGCCTCCTCCTCCTCCGCCTTCTTCTTCCTCCTCCTCCTCCTCCTCCTCCTCCTCCTCCTCCTTCTCCTCATGCATCGACCCCCGATCGCCCATTCATCGCCGATCGTGACCCGATAGCCTGCACTTCTCCCAGGAGTGTGCGGATTCGCCATCGGGGGCCCGTCGCCGATCTATCGGCGAGTTGTCGCCGAGTTCGGGTCGATGTTTCCCCCCTGGGCCGGTGCCCCTCTTAACGTTCCCCCTGCATCAGCCTCCGCAGGCCGCGCGGTCGGCGGCCACCGATCGTCCGTCGTGGATCGTCGTGGTTGTCGTCGTCGTCTTCGACGTCGTCGTCGTCGTCGTCGCCGTCGTCGTCAATGTCGTCAACGTCGTCGTCATGGGTCGTCGTCGTCGTCGTCGTCGTCGTCGTCGTCGTCGTCGTCGTCGTCGTCGTCGTCATGGGTCGTCGTCGTCGTCGTCATCGTCGTCGTCATCGTCGTCGTCGTCGTCGTCGTCGTCGTCGTTGTCATTCGTCCTCCCCGCTGTGCCCCGCCCGCGCCCTTGCGCCGCAGAACCCTTTCTTTCGTTGTCGTTCGTCCTCCCCCTGCTTCCCTGGCCTCGTCCGTTCTGGACCGCTGGGCCGCGTAGCCCGTCCTTGGCTGGGCCGCCTCCCTTCTGGGCCGCGGAGCCCACTCGTGGTTCCGCCCCGCCCCTTCTGCCCATCCCTCTGGGGCGCGGAACCTAGTATTTTCGTCGTCGTTCGTCCTCCCCTTCTGGGCCTCCCTGGCCTCGCCCGTTCTGGGCCGTTGGGTCGCGGAGCCTGCCCTTTGCTGGGCCACCTCCCTCGTCCGCCGCGGAGCTCGCCCCAGGCTCCGCCCCCCTCCCCCGCCTGCCCCCCCCTCTGGGCCGCGGGGCCCCCCTGGCCTCCGCCCTTCTGGGCCGCGGAGCCCGTCCCTGGGCCCCGCCCCCGCCCTTGGGCCGCAGAACCGTTGATATTTTCGTTGTCGCTCGTTCTCTCCCCCTGGGCCCCCTGGGCCTCTACTTCTCTGGGCAGCGGGGCCCACCCTGGTCGAATTGCCCCCTGGCCCCTGGGGTTCTCTGGGCCGCCCCCCTTTTTGGGCCGCGAAGCCCACACCTGCCCCCCCCCAGGGCCCGCCACCCCCTGGGCCGCGGAACTTTCTCTTTTGTTGTCGTCAGTCCTCCCCTCTGGGGCTCCCTGACTTCTTCCCTTCTTCGGGTAGGAGATCGAGAACAGAACTGATGTAGCACAGATCTGCTGCTTGGTTCAATGTAGCACAATCGATATATATATATATATATATATATATATGTTGTTGATCTGCGGACATGCTGGATGTGCTTGTAGATTCGGCGAACTAGTCCATGTGGGGCACGCCAATTCTACAATCGATCTCCGACTCGACCTCTAGGTTCGGCCGCGGAGCCCGCTTCTGGCCCCTCTCCGGGCCCCGACCCGCCCCCGCCCCCTGCGCCGCCTCCCTGTTTCCGCTGTCGCTCGTCCTCCCCCCATGGGCCCGCCTGGCCTCTTCCGCTTTGGGCCGCTGGGCCGCGGAACCCGCCCCTGGCCTGGCCGCCTCCCCTGCTCGGCCGCGGCGCCGCCATTGCGCCGCGGACTCCTTCCTGTTCGTTGTCGCTCGTCCTCCCCCCACTGGGGCTTCCTGGCCTCGTCCCTTCAGTGTCGCGGAGCCCGCCCGGCCCAGCTCCCCCCTGGACCCGCCCCCGCCCCTGGGCCGCGGCACTTCATTATATCGTTGTCGTTCGTCCCCCTCCCCTGGGCCCCCCCCCGGCCTCGTCCGTTCTGGGCCGCAGAGCCCACCCTTGGCCACCTTGGGCCCTGCCCCGCCCCTGAGCCGCGGATCTTCAGATTCTCTTCCACAGCTGTGTGCTGCGTGCTCGGAGCCCTTTCTTTTTTGCCGTCGTTCGTTCCGTCGCTCGTGCCCCCCCCCCCCCGGGCCCCCTGCCCGGGCCTCCTCATGATGGTCATGAAGGGCCCCAAGAGCCCCCTACCCCTCCCCACCCAGCCTCGCCTGGCCCTCGTCCTACCTCGTGCAAGAGCCAGGGCACGTGTGCCACTTGTTCATGCGCCGCGCCCTCGGGAATCGCGCTATCGCTGGAGACTTCCTCGCGATTCACGCAGGACTGACGCTTCGGCGGCCCACCCGCTGGACCCCGCCGTCTGGGCCCGCCCACCCGACCCGCCCGTCTGGTTCCGCGGCTTGGTTCCTGCTGTTATCCCCCTCCTGTCAACCTCTCTCGCGCTTCATCCTTCGTTCTCTCGGTTGTCCCTTCCCTTCTCCCTTATTTTGTTTAGGGGCTGCGCCAACTACACGTGGCAGGCAAGGAAGATACCTGTACGACCACCCTTCGGGTGATAAGGAGGTTTGGGGGGAAAGAACCAACTGATGGCAATATTGGTGGTCGTGATGAGGACGATGCCGGTGATGCGCCCTGGGGTGGGCGACGACGCGTGATGATGATGATATTGGTCGCGACGAGTGCTGTTGTTTGTCATCCCACCCGGCGGCGAGGCAGGCTCGAGCAGGCGGTGGAAGAGATCATGCGTAAAGCTGATGTGGGCCGCACGACTACGATAGCAATATTCGCCAGTGGCATCCGTTGTGTTTGATCTTCTGTCCTTCTCACCGAGCTCACACGAGATCTCACCATCGATCGAGATCTCATGATCGTTCTCACAACGAATCCCAGTACGATCGTATCACGACGATCTGTCGATTTCATTACAACTGTCACATTCGACCGCTATCGATCTCACAATCGATCTCACAACCGATTTCGCGATCGATCTCACAGCAGATCTCCCAATCGATCTCTCTGTCGATCTGACTATCGAACTCACCATCGATTCCACATTCGGGCTCACATTCGATCTCACAACAGTTCTCACTATCAGTCGCACAATCGATCCTACAGTCGATCTCATGCTCGATCTCACTGTCGATCCCACTGCATCTCTCACAGGCGATCCCACAGTCGATCTCGCAACAGATCTCACTATCGATGTCACAACGGATCTCACAGTCGATCTCCCAAACGATGGCACTATCGATCTCGCCGCCCTGCTCTGGGACACTGACCCGCGCCGCCCTGCTCCGGGACTCGGCGCAACGACGGGACACCGACGCGCCACCGACGGGACACCCCTGGCCACCGCGCGCCAGGGCGGGAGCGGCGAACAACGGGCCACGGCGGCATCAGTCCTCTCGCGCGTCCACGCAGCTCCGCCTCGCCCTCACGCACGACACGAACACGAAACCGAAACCGATTTCCGGTGGGGGGCTCCCCGTTCCGCGGCGATCTCATCCTTCAACCGTTGATACCCGCAAGGGGGTGTGATCGAAGACGAGGAGGGCGGGTATCGAGGGTTTGGGATCTTCATGCGTTGAACGTCGCGCGATCAGATAAGAACGAGCAGTCTTAAAATGATTGTCATTATTGCTGCTGTTTTCGGGGGACCTTACCGGGTCCCGGGCCCGTCAAATTTTGGACGTGACAGTTGATCCATCCCTAGTCGTGTCCGCGTCAAAAACTCATCGGGATGGCAAACCGGTCCTAGGGAAGGGGTCGAGACTTCTGGTGGCCCACGCTGCGTCGATGGCCTGGGCATCGTCGTCGGTGGCGGCGCTGGCCTAGGCATCGATGACGTCGGTGGGCAACGAAAGTCAGGACGTCGATGGACAAGGCATCGAGGACTTCCCTGGTGTGAGATCACGCCTCGAGGTAGTCGTCGCCGCATGTGCCGCCGTGGCGGGCGCGATCGGACCGCGGAGTTTTCGGTCGACAGGAGTCGCGCCTGCGTTGCGGGAACCTGTTCTTCGCGTTGCGAAAAATATAAATCGGGAAACCCCAACGGTGCGGTGACCACACCACGTGGTGGGTCAGTGGGGATTCGGGACGAAACCGTGCGGTGACGGACCGTGCGGCGGTGAGGCCTTTGGAGATGCCGAGGTCACCGCACGGTCTGTCACCGCACCGTCTAGGGTTTCCCCTAAATTCGGGAGGGGACACACACACACACAGTCACAGTTAATCGTCGGTTCCCAGGAACAAATTGGGAAAAGATGGGAAGTGGGGGGAGACGCAAACCCAGAGAATACAGGAAAAGATTGGGGATCTTGGGAGTGGTGTCTACTGATTCGTGTGTGCCTGGGCCCCTTCAAACACAGGGACGGACGTTTTTTCTTGATGCTGTCTCTCGGGGGGGGGGGGGAGGCGGGCCGTTGCCGGGCCCCGACCGTCCAAAGAGCGTCTCGCGGGAGGGAACGCCGGGCCCTCTGGGAAGGGGATCGGGGCCTCCGTAGGGCCCGCGCTGCGAAGAAGAAGAAGCCGGGATCCCAGACCCCCTCGCGATGTGACGCGTGTCGCGGCGGGAGGGGGCCCGGACCGGGCCTCGGGACGCGGGGCCGTCCACAAGACCGACTCGGGATGAGAAAAGCCGGTCCCGGGGGCGGGGTCCAGACCTCTGGGGGTCGAGGTTGTGAGCAGACTCACGGCGTCGGGGGTCTGCGGACGTCAGTGGCGGGGGGCCGCGCGATGGATCGCGCCTCGAGGCAGTACGCGCCGCGCGCCTCTGCGGCGTGGCGCGATCGGGCCGCGCAGTGCCAGGTCGACCGGAGGCGCTCCTCTTGGCGCGACGGGCTCGGCGGCGTCGCCCCGGCCACTGGCCGCCGTGCATGGCGAGGGGCTCGGAGGGGAGCGGGTTCTGAGGTTTTCCGCCGTTGTCGGGCGCCTCCCGGGGCCCTCCCCTGGGCCTTTGGGCAGTCAGGTTAAACGGCTCCGGCGGGGTCCAACGGACCCGCTTCCCTCCGGAAGCGCTTCTTAATTTGCGTGCTACCTTCAACCCGCGCAGGAAGGATGGGCATCCTTCCCAAGGGTACCCTTGCATCCCTGCCCCTTCGGCCCCTCCTTGGCCACCTTCGCTGGCCGTGCCCCGCCCGAAAAGCCTCGAGATGACCGTCCGAGGCCCGTGCATCCTTGC